AAAATGGATGGAGAGATAAATCTTCACTCAGAAATTCATTCAAAAAAAGAGGCATGAAGATGGAAGAGATAAAAAAGAATATGTCTTCACTCAAGAGAATCTATTCAAAAAAAAGCAATGAATGAAGGAAGAGATAAAAAAGAATATGTCTTCCTCAAGAAAATTCAAACAGGAAAATAATGAAGATGAAGAGATAAAAGAATATCTTCACTCAAAAATTATTCAAAAAAGAAGCAATGAATAAAAAAAAAAAGAATATGTCTTCACTCAAGAAATTCATTCAAAAAGAAGCAATGAGATGGAAGAGATAAAAAAATGATCTTCACTCAAGAAATTATTCAAAAAACAATGAAAGATGGAAGAGATAAAAAAATGTTCACTCCCAAGAAATTATTCAAAAAAGAAGCAATGAAGATGGAAGATAAAAAAAAGAATATGTCTTCACCAAGAAATTCAAGCAAAAAAAGCAATGAAGATGGAAGAAGATAAAGAATAACAATCTTCCTCAAGAAAATTCATTCAAAAAGAAACAATGAAGATGGAAGAAGAAAAGAATATGTCTTCACTCAAGAAAATTCAAACAGGGGAAAAAAACAATGAAGATGGAAGAGATAAAAAAGAATATGTCTTCACTCAAGAAATTCAAGATGGAAGAGATAAAAAGAAAGAAGAAATTCATCAAAAAAAGAAGCAATGAAGATGGAAGAGATAAAAAAGAATATGTCTTCACTCAAGAAATTCATTCAAAAAAAAAGCAATGAAGATGGAAGAGATAAAAGAATATGTCTTCACTCAAGAAATTCATTCAAAAAGAAGCAATGAAGATGGAAGAGATAAAAAGAATATGTCTTCACTCAAGAAATTCATTCAAAAAAATGAAGATGGAAGATAAAAAAGATCTTCACCAAGAAAAAAAAAGAAAAATGAAGATGGAAGAGATAAAAAAAAGAATATATCTTCACCAAGAAATTCATTCAAAAAGAAACAATGAAGATGGAAGAGATAAAAGAATATGTCTTCCCAAGAAATTCATTCAAAAAAAGAAGCAATGAAGATGGAAGATAAAAAGAATATGTCTTCACTCAAGAAATTCATTCAAAAAAAAGAAGCAATGAAGATGGAAGAGATAAAAAGAATATGTCTTCAATTCAAGAAATTCATCTCCAAAAAAAGAAACAAGAAGATGGAAGAGATAAAAAGAATATGTCTTCACCAAGAATTCATTCAAAAAGAAAGATGAAGATGAAGAAAAAAAAAAGAATATGTCTTCACTCAAGAAATTCATTCAAAAAGAATAAATGAAGATGGAAGAGATAAAAAAGAATATGTCTTCACTCAAGAAATTCATTCAAAAAAGAAGCAATGAAGATGGAAGAGATAAAAAGAATATGTCTTCACTCAAGAAATTCATTCAAAAAAGAAGCAATTGGAAAGAAATTCATTCAAAAAGAAGCAATGAAGATGGAAGAATAAAAAAAAGAATATGTCTTCACCAAGAAATTCATTATCAATGATGGAGGATAAAAGAAATGAAGATGGAAGAGATAAAAGAGGACAAAAAGAATATGTCTTCATTCAAGAAAAAAAAGAAGCAATGAAGATGGAAGAGATAAAAAAAACCAAGAAATTATTCAGAAAAGAAAATAAAGATGGAAACAAAAAAGAATATATCTTCACCAAGAAGATGGAAAAGAAAGATAAAAAAAAAAAGAATATGTCTTCTTTCAAGAAATTCATTTCAAAAAAAAGCAATGAAGATGGAAGAGACAAAAAAGAATATGTCTTTCCTGAAGATGGAATTATAAAAAAGGTCTTCACTCAAGAAAATTCAAAAGAAGCAATGAAGATGGAAAAAAGATGTTCTTACCAAGAAAATTCATTCAAAAAGAAGCAATGAAGATGGAAGAGAAAAGACTATGTCTTCCTCAAGAAATTATTCAAAAAAGAAGCAATGAAGATGGAAGAGATAAAAAAAAGAATATGTCTTCACTTTCAAGAAATTCATATTCAAAAAAGAAGCTAATCGAAGATGGAAGAGATAAAAAAACTAAGAAATTATTCAAAAGAAGAAATTAAAAGAATATGTCAAAAAAAGAGGAGAACGATGAAGATGGAAGAGATAAAAAATAATAAGAAATTCTTCTTTGAAGATGGAAAGAAATTCATTCAAAAAGAAACAATGAAGATGGTGTGAAGAGATAAAAAGAATATGTCTTCACTAAGAAATTCATTCAAAAAAGAAAGCATGAAGATGGAAGAGATAAAAAAGAATATGTCTTCAACCAAGAAATTATTCAAAAAGAAGCAAATGAAGATGGAAGATAAAAAGAATATGTTCACTCAAAATTCATTTCCAAAAAGAAACGATGAAGATGGATGAGATAAAAGAATATGTTCACTCAAGAAAATTCATTCAAAAAGAAGCAATGAAGATGGAAGAGATAAAAAGAATATGTCTTCACTCAAGAAATTATTCAAAAAGAAGCAATGAAGATGAAGAGATAAAAAGAATATGTCTTCACTCAAGAAATTCATTCAAAAAGAAGCAATGAAGATGGAAGAGATAAAAAGAATATGTCTTCACTGGAAGAAATTCATTCAAAAAAAAAGAAGAAGATGAAGAGATAAAAAGAATATGTTCACTCAAGAAATTCATCAAAAAGAAGCAATGAGATGATGGAGATAAAAGAATATGTCTTCACTCAAGAAATTTATTCAAAAAAGAAGCAATGAAGATGGAAGAGATAAAAAGAATATGTCTTCACTAAATTCATTCAAAAAGAAGCTAATGAAGATGGAAGATAAAAAAAGAATATGTCTTTCACTCAGAAATTATTCAGGAAAGAAGCAATGAAGATGGAAGAGATAAAAAAGAATATGTCTTCACTCAAGAAATTCAAGCAGAAAGAAGCAATGAAGATGGAAGAGATAAAAAATATGTCTTCACCAAGAAATTATTCAAAAAAGAAGCAATGAAGATGGAAGAGATAAAAAGAATATGTCTTCACTCAAGAAATTTTCAAAAAGAAGCAAATGAAGATGGAAGAGACAAAAAAGAATATGTTCTTCAATCAAGAAATTCATTCAGAAAAGAAACAATGAAGATGGAAGAGAAAAAAGAATAACCTTCACTAAGAAATTCATTCAAAAGAAGCAATGAAGATGGAAGAGATAAAAAGAATATGTCTTCACCAAGAAATCTATTCAAAAAAGAAGAAATGAAGATGGAAGAGACAAAAAAGAATATGTTACTCAAGAAATTCATTCAAAAAAGAAGCAATGAAGATGGAAGAGATAAAAAAGAATATGTTCTCACTCAAGAAATTCATTCAAAAGAAACAATGAAGATGGAAGAGATAAAAAAGAATATGTTCACCAAGGAAATTATTCAAAAAAATCGAATGAAGATGGAAGAGATAAAAAGAATATGTCTTCACTAAGAAAATCATTCAAAAAAGAAGCATGAAGATGGAAGAGATAAAAAGAATATGTTCACCAAGAAATTCATTCAAAAGAAGCAATGAAGATGGAAGAGATAAAAAAATATGTCTTCACTCAAGAAATTATTCAAAAGAAGCAATGAAGATGGAAGAGATAAAAAGAATATGTTCATCGTTATCTATTCAAGAAAATGAAGATTATTCAAAAATTCAAGAAGGAAAGAAACGATGAAGATGGAGATAAAAAGAATATGTCTTCACTCAAGAAAATTATTCAAAAAAGAAGCAATGAAGATGGAAGAGATAAAAAGAATATGTCTTCACCAAGAAATTATTCAAAAGAAAGCAATGAAGATGGAAGAGATAAAAAGAATATGTCTTCACCAAGAAATATTAAAAAGGAAAGAAACGATAGCAAGATGGAAGAGATATCAAAAGAATATGTTTTCAATCAAGAAATTCATTCAGGAAAGAAGCAATGAAGATGGAAGAGATAAAAAGAATATGTTCACTCAAGAAATTCACCAAAAAGAAAATGAAGCAGGAAAATAAAAACGATGAAGAAATTCATAAAAGAAGAAGAAGATGGAAAAAAGAATATGTCTTCACCAAGAAATTCATTGAAAAAAAGAAGCAATGAAGATGGAAGAGATAAAAAAGAATATGTCTTCACTCAAGAAATTCATTCAAAAAAAAAGCAATGAAGATGGAAGAGATAAAAGAATAAAAGAAAATCATATTCTTCAATGAAGATCAAAAGAATATGTTTCACTCAAGGCAGGAAAGAAGCATGAAGATGGAAGAGATAAAAAAGAATATGTTTTCACTCAAGAAATTATTCAAAAAGAAGCAAAGAAGAAGAGATAAAAAGAAATGTTCACCAAGAAAATTCAAAAAGGAAAGAAACGATGAAGATGGAAGAGATGAAAAAAAAGAATATGTCTTTCACCAAGAAATTATTCAAAAAAGAAACGATGAAGATGGAAGAGATAAAAAGAATGTGTTTCACTCAAGAAATTTCAATTCAAAAGAAGCAATGAAGATGAAGAGAAAAAAAAAATATGTCTTCCTCAAGAAATTCATTCAAAAAGAAGCAATGAATATGGAAGAGATAAAAGAATAATATTCTTCACCAAGAAATTCATTCAAAAAAGAAGCAATGAAGATGAAGAGATAAAAAGAATATGTCTTTAATCAAGAAATTCATTCAAAAAAGAAGCAATGAAGATGGAGAAAAGAATAAAAAGAATATGTATTCAAAAGAAGCTGAAGATGGAAGAGATAAATTCATTCAAAAAGAAAATGGAAATGAAGAAATTCATTCAAAAAAGAAGCAATGAAGATGGAAGAAAAAAGAATATGTCTTCACTCAAGAAATTCATTCAAAAGAAGCAATGAAGATGGAAGAGATAAAAGAATATGTCTTCCTCAAGAAATTCATTCAAAAAAGAAGCAATGAAGATGGAAGAGATAAAAAAGAATATGTCTCTACTCAAGAAATTCATTCAAAAAAGAAGCAATGAAGATGGAAGAGATAAAAAGAATATACCACTCAAGAAATTAAGCAGAAAAAGTCGAAAAACGATGAAGATGGAAGAGATAAAAAAAGAATATGATGGACGAGATAAAAAGAAATTCAAGCAGGAAAGAAGTTAATGAAGATGGAAGAGATAAAAAGATGTCTTCACCAAGAAATTCATTCAAAAAGAAGTAATGAAGATGGAAGAGACAAAAAGAATAAAAAGAAATTTCAAAAGAAAGAAACGAAGATGGAAGAGAGATAAAAGAATAAGCAAGAAATTCAAGCAGGAAAGAAAACGATGAAGATGGAAGAGATAAAAAGAATATGTTCTTCACTCAAGAAATTCATTCAAAAAAGAAGTTCAATGAAGATGGAAGAGATAAAAAAGAATATGTCTTCACTCAAGAAATTCTTTCAAAAAAGAAGCAATGAAGATGGAAGAGATAAAAAATATTCTTCACTCAAGAAAATTCAAAAGAAGAATGAAGATGGAAGAGAAATGAAAGAAATTCATTCAAAAAAGAAGCAAAGATAAAAAGAATATGTTTCACTCAAAGAAATTATTCAAAAAAGAAAGGTAATGAAGATGAAGAGATAAAAAGAATATGTCTTCACTCAAGAAATTCTAGCAAAAAGAAGCTAATGAAGATGGAAGAGATAAAAAGAATATGTCTTCACTCAAGAAATTCATTCAAAAAAAGAAGAAAAAGATGGAAGAGATAAAAAATATGTTCTTTCAAGAAATTATTCAAAAAAAGAAGCAATGAAGATGGAAGAGATAAAAAGAATATGTCTTCCAAGAAAAATTCATATTCAAAAAAGAAAGCAATGAAGATGAAAGAGATAAAAAAGAATATGTTCTTCACTCAAGAAATTCATTCAAAAAAGAAGCAATGAAGATGGAAGAGATAAAAGAATATGTCTTCACCAAGAAATTCAAAAAGAAATGATGAAGATGGAAGAGATAAAAAGATTATGTTTCACTCAAGAAATTATATTCAAAAAGAAGCAATGAAGATGGAAGAAAAAAAGAATATGTCTTCAATCAAGAAATTCATTCAAGATGGAAGAGATAAAAAAAGATATGTCTTTCACCAAGAATGGAAGAAGATGGAAGAGGAAAAAGAATATGTCTTTTCAAGAAATTACTCAAAAGAAGCAATGAGATGGAAGAAGAGAAAAAAGAAAACAAGAAATTATTCAAAAAGAAGCAATGAAGATGAAGAGATAAAAGAATATGTCTTTCACTCAAGAAATTATTCAAAAAAGAAGAATGAAGAGAGAAAAAAGACAAATATGAAAGGTCATTCAAAAGAAAACGATGAAGATGGAAGAGATAAAAAATATGTCTTCACTCAAGAAATTCAATTCAGGAAAAGAAGCAATGAAGATGGAAGAGATAAAAAGAATATGTCTTCACTCAAGAAATTATTCAAAAAGAAGCAATGAAGATGGAAGAGATAAAAAGAATATTTCTTCACTCAAAGAAATCTATTCAAAAGAAAATGAAGATGAAGAGATAAAAAAGGAAGAAAAAGCAGGAAAAAAAAGAATGAAGATGTCTTCACTCAAGAAATTCATTCAAAAAGAAGCAATGAAGATGGAAGAGATAAAAAAAGATATGTTCTTCACCAAGAAATTCATTCAAAAAGAAGCAAATGAAATGAAGATGGAAGAAGTAATGAAAAAAAGATAAAAAGATATCTTCACTCAGAAATTCAAAAAATTCAGGAAAGAAGAGACAAAAGTATATGAAGATGGAAGAGATAAAAAATATCAAAGAAATTATTCAAAATGAAGAGTAAGAAATAAAAGAATATGTCTTCACTCAAGAATTTATTCAAAAAGAAGCAATGAAGATGGAAGAGATAAAAGAATATGTTCTCACTCAAGAAATTCATTTCAAAAAAGAAACGATGAAGATGGAAGATAAAAAAATATGTTCACTCAAGAAAATTATTCAAAAAGAAGCAATGAAGATGGAAGAGAAAAAAAGAATATGTCTAAACTCTCAAGAAATTCACTAAAAAAGAAGCAATGAAGATGGAAGAGATAAAAAAAGAATATGTCTTCACCAAGAAATTATTCAAAAAGAAGCAATGAAGATGGAAGATAAAAAGAATATGTTCTTCAAAAAATTCATTCAAAAAAGAAGCAATGAAGATGGAAGAGATAAAAAGAATATGTCTTCACAAGAAATTCAAGCAGGAAAAACGATGAAAGATGGAAGAGATAAAAAGAATATGTTCACTCAAGAAATTCATTCAAAAAGAAGCAATGAAGATGGAAGAGATAAAAAAAGAATATTTCTTCACTTCAAGAAATTCATTCAAAAAGAAACAATGAAGATGGAAGAGATAAAAAAGAATATCATTTCACTCAAGAAATTAAGATAAAAAAAAGAATTATTCAAATGAAGATGGAAGAGATAAAAAGAATATGTCTTCACTCAAGAAATTCATTCAAAAAAGAAGCAATGAAGATGGAAGAGATAAAAAAGAATATGTCTTCACTCAAGAAATTCTATTCAAAAAAGAAGCAATGAAGATGGAAGAGATAAAAAAAAGAATATGTCTTTACTCAAGAAATTCATTCAAAAAGAAGTAATGAAGATGGAAGAGATAAAAAAGAATATGTCTTCACTCAAGAAATTCATTCAAAAAGAAGCAATGAAGATGGAAGAGATAAAAAGAAATGTCTTCACTCAAGAAATTCATTCAAAAAAGAAGCAATGAAGATGGAAGAGATAAAAAAGAATATGTCTTACTCAAGAAATTCATTCAAAAAAAGAAAATGAAGATGGAAGAGATAAAAAAGAATATGTCTCACTCAAGAAATTCAACAGGAAAGAAACGATGAAGATGGAAGAGATAAAAGAATATGTTCATCAAGAAATTCATTCAAAAAAGAAGCAATGAAGATGGAAGAGATAAAAAAAGAATATGTTTTCACCAAGAAAATTCAAAAAAGAAATAATGAAGATGGAAGAGAAAAAGAATATGTTCACCAAGAAATTATTCAAAAAAGAAGAATGAAGATGGAAGAGATAAAAGAATATGTTCACTCAAGAAATTATTCAAAAAAGAAGCAACGAAGATGGAAGAGACAAAAAGAATATGTCTTCACCAAGAAATCTATTCAAAAAAGAAAATGAAGATGGATGAGATAAAAAAAAATAAGTCTTCAGAAATTTAAGCAGGAAAGAAATTCATGAAGATGGAAGAGAAAAAGAAAGCAATCAAAAAAGAAGATGGAAGAGAGAAAAAGAATATGTCTTCACTCAAGAAATTCATTCAAAAAGAAGCAATGAAGATGGAAGAGATAAAAAGAATATGTCTTCACTCAAGAAATTATTCAAAAAAGAAGCAATGAAGATGGAAGAGATAAAAAAGAATATGTCTTCAGTCAAGAAATTATTCAAAAAAAAGAAGCAATGAAGATGGAGACAAAAAAGAATATGTCTTCACTCAAGAAATTACAAAAAGAAGAAATGAAGAGATAAAAAAGAATATGTTCTTCATCAAGAAATTATTCAAAAAGAAGCAATGAAGATGGAAGAGATAAAAAGAATATGTCTTCACTAAGAAATTATTCAAAAAAGAAAATGAAGATGGAAGAGATAAAAAAGAATAACTCAAGAAAATATAGAAAGAAAAATGAAGATGGAAGAGATAAAAAGAATATGCCTTCCTCAAGAAATTCAAACAAAAAAGAAACGATGAAGATGGAAGAGATAAAAGAATATGTCTTCACTCAAGAAATTATTCAAAAAGAATTCAAAAAGATAAAAGCAATGATCACTCAAGAAATCTATTCAAAAAGAAGAATGAAGATGGAAGAAAAAAAGAATATGTCTTCTCAAGAAATTATTCAAAAAGAAGCACGAAGATGGAAGAGATAAAGAATATGTCTTCACTCAAGAAATTATTCAAAAAAGAAGCAATGAAGATGGAAGAGATAAAAAAGAATATGTCTTCACATTCAAAAGAAGAATGAAAGAAATTCATTCAAGAAAAAGAAAGAAAATGAAGATGGAAGAGAAAAAAAGAATACTCAAGAAATTATTCAAAAGAACTGAAATGAAGATGGAAGATAAAAAGAATATTCACCAAGAAATTCAAAAGAAGCAATGAAGATGGAAGAGATAAAAAAGAATATGTTATAAAAATCAAGAGGAAAGAAAAACTTCACTCAAGAAATTCAAAAAGAAGCAGCGAAGATGGAAAGATAAAAAAGAATATGTTCACTAAGAAATTAGGCCCATTCAAAAAAAAGAAGCTAATGAATATGGAAGAGATAAAAAGAATATGTCTTCAGTCAAGAAATTCATTCAAAAAGAAGCAATGAAGATGGAAGAGATAAAAGAATATGTTTTCACTAAGAAATTCAAAAAGAAACGATGAAGATGGAAGAGATAAAAAGAATAGGTTCATCAAGAAATTCATATAAAAAAAAGAAGCAATGGAAGAGATAAAAAGAATATGTTCACTCAAGAAATTATTCAAAAAGAAGCAATGAAGATGGAAGAGATAAAAAAGAATATGTCTTCATCAAGAAATCTATTCAAAAAAAGAAACAATGAAGATGGAAGAGATAAAAAAGAATATGCCTCACTAAGAAATTCATTCAAAAAAGAAACGATGAAGATGGAAGAGATAAAAGAATAAGTTCTTTCACTCAAGAAATTCATTCAAAAAGAAGCAAAGAAGATGGAAGAGATAAAAAGAATATGTCTTTCACCAAGAAATCATTCAAAAAAAGAAAGCAATGAAGATGGAAGAGATAAAAGAATATGTCTTCACTCAAGAAATTATTCAAAAAGAAGCAATGAAGATGGAAGATAAAAAAAGAATATGTCTTCTACCAAGAAATTATTCAAAAAGAAGCAATGAAGATGGAAGAGATAAAAAGAATATGTCTTCACTCAAGAAATTCATTCAAAAGAAACGATGAAGATGGAAGAGATAAAAAAGAATATGTTCACTAAGAAATTCAAAAAAAGAAGCAATGAAGATGGAAGAGATAAAAAAGAATATGTCTTCACCTTAGATAAAAGAATATGTTATTCAAGGAAAAAAAGAAAGAAAACGGCGAAGATGGAAGAGATAAAAGAATATGCCTTTCACCAAGAAATTCTAGCAGGAAAAGAAACGATGAAGATGGAAGAGATAAAAAAGAATATGCCTTCACTAAGAAAATCAAGCAAAAAGAAACGATGAAGATGGAAGAGATAAAAAGAATATGTCTTCACCAAGAAATTCATTCAAAAAGAAGCAATGAAGATGGAAGAGATAAAAGAATGTCTTCACTTCAAGAAATTCATTCAAAAGAAGCAATGAAGATGGAAGAGATAAAAAGAATATGTCTTCACCAAGAAATTCATTCAAAAAAGAAGCAATGAAGATGGAAGACAAAAAGAATATGTCTTCACTAAGAAATTAAGAGGAAAAGAAGCAATGAAGATGGAAGACAAAAAAGAATATGTCTTCACCAAGAAATTCATTCAAAAAGAAGCAATGAAGATGGAAGAGATAAAAAAGAATATGTTCACTAAGAAATTCACAAAAAGAAATGATGAAGATGGAAGAGATAAAAGAATATGTTCTCACTCAAGAAAAAATCATTCAAAAAAGAAACAATGAAGATGAAAGAGATAAAAAGAATATGTCTTCACTCACAAAATTCATTCAAAAAAGAAGCAATGAAGATGAAGAGATAAAAAGAATATGTCTTCACTCAAGAAATTATTCAAAAAGAAGCAATGAAGATGGAAGAGATAAAAAGAATATGTCTTCACCAAGAAATTCAAGAAAAAGAAACGATGAAGTATGGAAGAGGATAAAAAGAATATGTTCACTAAGAAATTAAGCAGGAAAGAAGTAATGAAGATGGAAGAGATAAAAAGAATATGTTCACTCAAGAAATTTATTCAAAAGAAGCAAATGAAGATGGAAGAGATAAAAAAGAATATGTTCACCAAGAAATTCATTCAGGAAAAAAACGTAATGAAGATGGAAGAGAAAAAAAGAATATGTCTTCACTCAAGAAATTCTATTCAAAAGAAGCAATGAAGATGGAAGAGATAAAAGAATACAGTTCACTCAAGAATGTTATTCAAAAGAAGCAATGAAGATGGAAGAGATAAAAAAATATGTCTTCACTCAAGAAATTCATTCAAAAAGAAGCAATGAAGATGGAAGAGAAAAAAATGAATAAGAGTCTTCACTCAAGAAATTATTCAAAAAGAAGCAATGAAGATGGAAGAGATAAAAGAATATGTTCAACAAGAAATTCATTCAAAAAGAAGCAATGAAGATGGAAGATAAAAAAAGAATATGTTCACTCAAGAAATTCAATTCAAAAGAAATGATGAAGATGGAAGAGATAAAAAGAATATGTCTTCACTCAAGAAATTATCTAAAAAGAAGCAATGAAGATGGAAGAAAAAGAATATGTTTTCACTCAAGAAATTCATTCAAAAAAAGAAGCAATGAAGATGAAGAGATAAAAAGAATATGTTCTTCACCAAGGAAATTCAAGCAGGAAAGAAAAACGATGAAGATGAAGAGATAAAAGAATATGTTCACTCAAGAAAATCATTCAAAAGAAACGATGAAGATGGAAGAGATAAAAAAGAATATGTTTCACTCAAGAAATTCATTCAAAAAGAAGCAATGAAGATGGAAGAGATAAAAAGAATATGTTCACCAAGAAATTCAGGAAAGAAACGATGAAGATGTGAAAGAAGATAAAAAGAAATTATTCTTAAAAAGAAGCAATGAAGATGTGAAGAGATAAAAAAAAGAATATGTCTTCACCAAGAAATTATATCTGAAAAAGAAGCAATGAAGATGGAAGAGATAAAAGAATATGTCACCAAGAAATTCATTCAAAAAAAGAAGAAATTCATTCAAAAAAGAGGAAAGAACGATGAAGATGGAAGAGATAAAAAGAATATGTTCTTCACCTCAAGAAATTCAATTCAAAAAGAAGCAATGAAGATGGAAGAGATAAAAGAATATGTCTTCAGCCAAGAAATTATTCAAAAAAAGAAGCAATGAAGATGGACGAGATAAAAAGAATATAGTTCACTCAGAAATTCTAAGAGGAAAAAGAAACGATGAAGATGGAAGAGATAAAAAAGAATATGTCTTCACTAAGAAATTCATTCAAAAAAGAAGCAATGAAGATGAAGAGATAAAAAAGAATATGTTCACCAAGAAATTTTTCAAAAAAGAAGCAATGAAGATGGAAGAGATAAAAAGAATATGTCTTCACCAAGAAATTCATTCAAAAAGAAACGATGAAGATGGAAGAGATAAAAAGAATATGTCTTCACTCAAGAAATTATTCAAAAAAAGAAGCAATGAAGATGGAAGAGACAAAAAGAATATGTTCACTTCAAGAAATTATTCAAAAAAGAAAGCAATGAAGATGAAGATAAAAAGCATATGTCTTCACCAAGAAAATTCAAAAAAGAAGCAATGAAGATGGAAGAAATAAAAAAGAATATGTCTTCACTCAAGAAATTCTATCAAAAAGAAGCAATGAAGATGGAAGAGATAAAAAAGAATATGTTTTCACCTTCAAGAAATTCATTCAAAAAGAAGCAATGAAGATGGAAGAGATAAAAAGAATATGTTCTTCACCAAGAAATCTATTCAAAAAAAGAAGCAATGAAGATGGAAGAGATAAAAAGAATATGTCTTCACTAAGAAATTCAAGCAGGAAAAGAAGCGATGAAGATGGAAGAGATAAAAAAGAATATGTCTTCACCAAGAAATTATTCAAAAGAAGCAATGAAGATGGAAGAGATAAAAGAATATGTTCACTCTAAGAAATTATTCAAAAAAGAAACAATGAAGATGGAAGAGGATAAAAAAAGAATATGCTTTCACTCAAGAAATCAAGCAGGAAAAGAAACGATGAAGATGGAAGATAAAAAGAATATGTCTTCACTCAAGAAATTCTATTCAAAAAAGAAGCAATGTGAAGATGGAAGAGAAAAAGCATATGTTCACCAAGAAATCATTCAAAAAGAAGCAATGAAAAAGAGATAAAAAGAATATGAAGATTGGAAGAGAGAAAAAAGAATATGTCTTCACTCAAGAAATTATTCAAAAAGAAGCAATGAAGATGGAAGAGAAAAAAGAATATGTTCACTGAAATTATTCAAAAACAATGAAGATGGAAGAGATCAAGAAATCTTTGTTCAAAAAAGAAGCAATGAAGATGAAGAGATAAAAAAGAATATGTCTTCACTCAAGAAAATTTATTCAAAAAAAGAAGCTGTAATGAAGATGGAAGAGATAAAAAAGAATATGTCTTCACCAAGAAATTATTCAAAAAAGAAGCAATGAAGATGGAAAGAGATAAAAAGAATATGTCTTCACTCAAGAAATTCATTCAAAAAGAAGCAATGAAGATGGACGAGATAAAAAGAATATGTTCTCTCAAGAAAATTCAAGCAGGAAAGAAAACGATGAAGATGGAAGAGATAAAAAGAATATGTTCATCAAGAAATTATCTAAAAAAGAATAATGAAGATGGAAGAGATAAAAAGAATATGTTTCACTCAAGAAATTTTTTCAAAAGAAGCAATGAAGATGGAAGAGATAAAAAGAATATGTCTTCACTCAAGAAATTATTCAAAAAAGAAACAAATGAAGATGGAAGAGATAAAAAAGAATATGCCTTCACTCAAGAAATTATTCAAGGAAAGAAATGAAGATGGAAGAGACAAAAAGAATATGTTCACCAAGCAAATTCATTCAAAAGAAGCAATGAAGATGGAAGAGATAAAAAGAAAAAGAATATGTGAGGAAAGAAACTTGGAAGAGAGCAAAAGAAATTCCAAGAAATTCAAAAAAAAAGCAATGAAGATGGAAGAGATAAAAAAGAATCAAGAAATGTCTTGAAGATGGAAGAGACAAAGAAATGTCTTTTCAAGAAATTCAAAAAGGAAGCAATGAAGATGGAAGAGATAAAAAAGAATATGTTTTCGAAGTCAAGAAATTATTCAAAAAGAAAGCAATGAAGATGAAGAGATAAAAAGAATATGTTCTCACTCAAGAAATTCAAGGAAAGAAACGATGAAGATGGAAGAGATAAAAAAGAATATGTTCTTCACCAAGAAATTCATTCAAAAAGAAGCAATGAAGATGGAAGAGACAAAAAGAAATGTGTTCACTCAAGAATCTATTCAAAAGAAGCAATGAAGATGGAAGAGATAAAAAAAGAATATGTTCACTAAGAAATTCAAGCAGGAAAGAACGATGAAGATGGAAGAAATTAACATGCTTCACCAAGAAAGAAACGATGAAGATTGAAGAGATAAAAAGAATATGTCTTCACTCAAGAAATTATTCAAAAAAGCAATGAAGATGGAAGAGATAAAAGAATATGTTCACTAAGAAATTATTCAAAAGAAGCAATGAAGATGGAAGAGATAAAAAGATGTCTTCACTCAAGAAATTCATTCAAAAAGAAGCAATGAAGATGGAAGAGATAAAAAGAATATGTTCACTCAAGAAATTCATTCAAAAAGAAGCATAATGAAGATGGAAGATAAAAAAGAATATGTTCACTCAAGAAATTATTCAAAAGAAGCAATGAAGATGGAAGATAAAAAGAATATGTCTTCACCAAGAAATTATTCAAAAAGAAGCAATGAAGATGGAAGAGATAAAAAGAAATGTCTTCACTAAGAAATTATATTCAAAAAGAAAATGAAGATGGAAGAGATAAAGAATAACCAAGATTCAAGCAGGAAAGAAGCAATGAAGACACTAAAAAGAAATTCAACCAAGAAAGAAAAAAAGAAGCAATGAAGAAGAGATAAAAGAATATGTCTTCATCAAGAAATTTTTCAAAAGAAAACGATGAAGATGGAAGAGATAAAAAAAAGTCTTCATCATCAAAAGAAGTAATGAAGAAGATGGAAGAGATAAAAGAAATGTCTTCACTAAAAAAAAGAAATAAATGAAGATGGAAGAGATAAAAAGAATATGTCTTCACTCAAGAAATTATTCAAAAAAAGAAGCAAGAAATTATTCAAAAAGAAGAATGAAGATGGAAGAGATAAAAAAGAATATGTCTTCACTCAAGAAATTCATTCAAAAAGAATGAACAAGATGGAAGATAAAAAAGAATATGTCTTCACCAAGAAATTCAAGCAGGAAAGAAACGATGAAGATGGAAGAGATAAAAAAGAATATGTCTTCACCAAGAAATTCATATTCAAAAAGAAGCAATGAAGATGGAAGAGATAAAAAGAATATGTCTTTCACTGCCAAGAATTCATTCAAAAGAAGCAATGAAGATGGAAGAGATAAAAGAATATGTCTTCACCAAGAAATTCATTCAAAAAGAAGAATGAAGATGGAAGAGATAAAAGAATATGTCTTCAGTCAAGAAATTCATTCAAAAAAGAAGCAATAAGATGAAGAGATAAAAAAAGAATATGAAGAAATTCAAGCAGGAAGAACGATGAAGATGGAAGAGATAAAAGAATATGTCTTCACTAAGAAATTCATTCAAAAAGAAGCAATGAAGATGGAAGAGATAAAAAGAATATCTCACTTCAAGAAATTATTCAAAAAAGCAATGAAGATGAAGAGATAAAAAGAATATGTTCTTTCACTCAAGAAATTCAAGCAAAAAAGAAGCAATGAAGATGAAGAGATAAAAAGAATATGTCTTCACTCAAATTCATTCAAAAAAGAAGCAATGAAGATGGAAGAGATAAAAAGAATATGTCTTCACCAAGAAATTCAAGCAGGAAAGAAACGATGAAGATGGAAGAGATAAAAAAGAATATGCTTTCACCAAGAAATTTATTCAAAAAGAAGCAATGAAGATGGAAGAGAGAAAAAGAATATGTCTTCACTCAAGAAATTATTCAAAAGAAGCAATGAAGATGAAGAGATAAAAAGATGTCTTCACTCAGTCTATTCAAAAAGAAACAATGAAGATGGAAGAGATTCAAAAAGAAGCCTCACCAAGAAATTATTCAAAAAGAAGCAATGAAGATAGAAAAAAAGAATATGTCTTCACTCAAGAAATTATTCAAAAAAGAAGCAATGAAGATGGAAGAGATAAAAAGAATATGTTTTCACTAAGAAATTATTCAAAAAAGAAGCAATGAAGATGGAAGAGATAAAAAGAATATGTCTTCACTCAAGAAATTCAAGCAGGAAAGAATAAATGAAGATGGAAGAGATAAAAAAAGAATATGTTCACCAAGAAATTCATTCAAAAGAAGCAATGAAGATGGAAGAGATAAAAAAGAATATGTCTTCACCAAGAAATTCATTCAAAAAAGAAGCAATGAAGATGGAAGAGAAAAAGAATATATCTTCACTCAAGAAAAAAATCAAGCAGGAAAAAGAAACGATGAAGATGGAAGAGATAAAAAGAATATGTCTTCACTCAAGAAATTCATTCAAAAAGAAGCAATGAAGATGGAAGAGATAAAAAGAATATGTCTTCACTCAAGAAATTCATTCAAAAAGAAGCAATGAAGATGGAAGAGATAAAAAGAATATGTCTTCATCAAGAAATTATTCAAAAAAGAAGCAATGAAGATGGAAGAGATAAAAAGAATATGTCTTCACTCAAGAAATTCATTCAAAAAAAGAAGCAATGAAGATGGAAGAGATAAAAAGAATATGTCTCACTCAAGAAAATTCTCAGGAAAGAAGCAATGAAGATGGAAGAGATAAAAAGAATATGTCTTCACCAAGAAATTATTCAAAAGAAGAAAATGAAGATGGAAGAGATAAAAAGAATATGTCTTCACCAAGAAATTCATTCAAAAAAGAAGCAATGAAGATGGAAGAGATAAAAAGAATATGCTTCACTCAAGAAATTCATTCAAAAAAGAAGCAATGCAATGTTCTTCACCAAGAAATGCAAAAAGATGAAAAAGAAAATGTCTTCACTCAAGAAATTCATTCAAAAAAGAAGCAATGAAGATGGAAGAGATAAAAAGAATATGTCTTCACCAAGAAATTCATTCAAAAAGAAACAATGAAGATGGAAGAGATAAAAAGAATATGTCTCACCAAGAAATTATCAAAAAAAAAAGAAGCAATGAAGATGGAAGAGATGATGGAAAAAGAATATGTCTTCACCAAGAAATTCATTCAAAAAAGAAGCTAATGAAGATGAAGAGATAAAAGAAAGATGAAATTATTCAAAAGAAGCAATGAAGAGATAAAAAGAATATGTCTTCACTCAAGAAATTCATTCAAAAAGAAAAAATGAAGATGGAAGAGACAAAAAGAATATGTCTTCACTCAAGAAATCTATCCAAAAAAGAAGCAATGAAGATGGAAGAGATAAAAAGAATATGTTCACTCAAGAAATTATTCAAAAAAGAAGCAATGAAGATGGAAGAGATAAAAGAATATGTCTTCACCAAGAAATTCAAGCAGGAAAGAAACGATGAAGATGGAAGAGATAAAAAGAATATGAAAATTTCACTCAAGAAATTCAAAAAGAAAGAAATGAAGATGGAAGAGATAAAAAAGAATATGTCAAGAAATTATTCAAAAAAGAACCAAGAAATTCATTCAAAAAGAAGCAATGAAGATGGAAGAGATAAAAGAATATGTTCACTCAAGAAATTATTCAAAAAGAAACAATGAAGATGGAAGAGATAAAAAGAATATGTCTTCACTCAAGAAATTATTCAAAAAGAAGCAATGAAGATGGAAGAGATAAAAAGAATATGTCTTCACTCAAGAAATTCATTCAAAAAGAAGCAATGAAGATGGAAGAGATAAAAAGAATATGTCTTCATCAAGAAATTCATTCAAAAAAGAAGCAATGAAGATGGAAAGAGAAAAAAGAATATGTCTTCACCAAGAAATTCAAGCAGGAAAGAAGCAATGAAGATGGAAGAGATAAAAAAGAATATGTCTTCACTCAAGAAATTATTCAAAAAAGAAGCAATGAAGATGGAAGAGATAAAAGAATATGTCTTCACTCAAGAAATTCATTCAAAAAGAAGCAATGAAGATGGAAGAGATAAAAAAGAATATGTTCACTCAAGAAAATCATTCAGGAAAGAAACGATGAAGATGGAAGAGATGAAAAAAAGAATATGTCTTCACTCAAGAAATTCATTCAAAAAAAGAAGCAATGAAGATGGAAGAGAAAGAATAAAAGAAATTCATTCAAAAAAGAAGAAATATGGAAGAGAAAAAGAATATGTCTTTCACCAAGAAATTCAAAAAAAAAGAAGCAATGAAGATGGAAGAGATAAAAAGAATATGTCTTCACTCAAGAAATTCATTCAAAAAGATAAAAGAAATGAAGATGGAAAGATAAAAAAAATATGTCTTCACTCAAGAAATTCATTCAAAAAGAAGCAATGAAGATGGAAGAGAAAAAAGAATATGTTCACCCAAGAAATTCATTCAAAAAGAAGCAATGAAGATGGAAGAGATAAAAAAGAATATGTCTTCACTCAAGAAATTCATTCAAAAAAGAAGCAATGAAGATGGAAGAGATAAAAAAGAATATGTCTTCACTCAAGAAATTCAAGTAGGAAAGAAACGATGAAGATGGAAGAGATAAAAAAGAATATGTCTTCACTCAAGAAATTTATTCAAAAAGAAGCAATGAAGATGGAAGAGATAAAAGAATATGTCTTCACTCAAGAAATTCATTCAAAAAAGAAATAATGAAGATGGAAGAGATAAAAGAATATGTCTTCACTCAAGAAATTCATTCAAAAGAAGCAATGAAGATGGAAGAGATAAAAAAGAATATGTCTTCACCAAGAAATTCAGGAAAGAAATGAAGATGAAAAAAAAATGTCTTTCACTCAAGAAATTCATTGAAGATGGAAGAGAGATAAAAGAATATGTCTTCACCAAGAAATTCATTCAAAAAGAAGCAATGAAGATGGAAGAGATAAAAAGAATATGTCTTCACTCAAGAAATTCATTCAAAAAAAAAGAAGCAATGAAGATGGAAGAGAAAAAAAGAATATGTCTTCACCAAGAAATTCATTCAAAAAAGAAGCAATGAAGATGGAAGAGATAAAAAGAAATGTCTTCACTCAAGAAATTATTCAAAAAAGAATAATGAAGATGGAAGAGAAAAAAGAATATGTCTTCACCAAGAAATTCATTCAAAAGCAATGAAGATGGAAGAGATAAAAAAGAACATGTCTTCACTCAAGAAATTCATTCAAAAAAGAAGAATGAAGATGGAAGAGAGATAAAAGAAAGAAATTCATTCAAAAAGAAGCAATGAAGATGGAAGAGAAAAAGAATATGTCTTCACTCAAGAAATCTATTCAAAAAAAGAATGAAGATGGAAAGATAAAAAAGAATATGTCTTCACTCAAGAAATTAAAAGATAAAAAGAATATGTAATGAAGATGGAAGAGATAAAAGAATATGACTTCACTCAAGAAAAAGTACAGGAAAGAAACGATGAAGATGGAAGAGATAAAAAGAATATGTCTTCACCAAGAAATTCATTCAAAAAAAAGAAGCAATGAAGATGGAAGAGATAAAAAGAATATGTCTTCACTCAAGAAATTCATTCAAAAAGAAGCAATGAAGATGGAAGAGATAAAAAGAATATGTCTTCAAAAAGAAATATTCAAAAGAAGCAATGAAGATGGAAGAGATAAAAGAATATAGTTCACTCAAAATTCAAAAAAGCAATGAAGATGAAGAGATAAAAAGAATATGTCTTCACCAAGAAATTCATTCAAAAAGAAGCAATGAAGATGGAAGAGATAAAAAAGAATATGTCTCACTCAAGAAATTCAAAAAAGAAACAATGAAGATGGAAGAGATAAAAGAATATGTCTTCAAAAAGAACAATGAAGATGGAAGAGATAAAAAGAAATTCAATTCAAAAGAAGCAATGAAGATGGAAGAGATAAAAAAAGAATATGTCTTCACTCAAGAAATTCATTCAAAAAAGAAGCAATGAAGATGGAAGAGATAAAAGAATATGTCTTCACTCAAGAAATTCATTCAAAAAGAAGCAATGAAGATGAAGAGATAAAAAGAATATGTCTTCACTCAAGAAATTCATTCAAAAAGAAGCAATGAAGATGGAAGAGATAAAAAGTCTTCACTCAAGAAAAAGAGAAATAAATGATAAAAATATGGAAGAAATTCATTAAAAAAAAAGAAGATGTCTTCAAAAAGAATAAATTCACTCAAGAAATTCATTCAAAAAAGAAGCAATGAAGATGGAAGAGATAAAAAAGAATATGTCTTCACTCAAGAAATTATATTCAAAAAGAAGCAATGAAGATGGAAGAGATAAAAAAGAATATGTCTTCACCAAGAAATTCATTCAAAAAGAAGTAATGAAGATGGAAGAGATAAAAAAAGAATATGTCTTCACTCAAGAAATTCAAGCAGGAAAGAAGAATGAAGATGAAGAGATAAAAAGAATATGTTCACTAAGAAATTATTCAAAAGAAAATGAAGATGGAAGAGATAAAAGAATATGTCTTCAAGAAATTCAAGCAGGAAAGAAACGATGAAAAGATGAAAGAGATAAAAAAGAATATATTCAAAAAGAAAGCAATGAAGATGGAAGAGATAAAAGAATATGTCTTCACTCAAGAAATTCATTCAAAAAGAAGTAAATGAAGATGGAAGAGATAAAAGAATATGTCTTCACTCAAGAAATTATTCAAAAAGAAGTAAATGAAGATGGAAAGAGATAAAAAAGAAATATGTTCACTCAAGAAATTATTCAAAAAGAAGCAATGAAGATGGAAGAGATAAAAGAATATGTCTTCACTCAAGAAATTCATTCAAAAAAAGAAGCAATGAAGATGAGAGATAAAAAGAATATGTCTTCACCAAGAAATTCAAGCAAAAAGAACAATGAAGATGGAAGAGATAAAAAAGAATATGTCTTCACCAAGAAATTCATTCAAAAAAAGAAGCAATGAAGATGGAAGAGATAAAAAGAATATGCCTCACTCAAAAAATTCATTCAAAAAAGAAACAATGAAGATGGAAGAGATAAAAAGAATATGTCTTCACTCAAGAAATTCAAGCAAAAAAGAAGCAATGAAGATGGAAGAGATAAAAAAAGAATATGTCTTCACCAAGAAAATTCAAAAAGAAGCAATGAAGATGAAGAAAAAAGAAAGTCTTCAAAGAAAGAGCAGGAAAGAAGATGAAGAAAAAGATAAAAAAAGAATATCTTCACTCAAGAAATTCATTCAAAAGAAAAATGAAGATGGAAGAGATAAAAGAATATGTCTTTCAAGAAATTATTCAAAAAAGAAGCAATGAAGATGGAAGAGATAAAAAAGAATATGTCTTCACTCAAGAAATTCAGCAGGAAAAAAACGATGAAGATGGAAGAGAAAAAGAATATGCCTTCACCAAGAAAAATTCAAAAAGAAACGATGAAGATGGAAGAGATAAAAAGAATATGTCTTCACTCAAGAAATTCATTCAAAAGAAGCAATGAAGATGGAAGAGATAAAAAGAATATGTCTTCACCAAGAAATTCATTCAAAAAGAAGCAATGAAGATGGAAGAGATAAAAAGAATATTTCACCAAGAAAATCAAGAAAAGAAAAAATGAAGATGAAGAGATAAAAAGAATATGTCTTCAAAAAGAAATTCATTCAAAAAGAAGCAATGAAGATGGAAGAGATAAAAAGAATATGTTCACTCAAGAAATTCATTCAAAAAGAAGCAATGAAGATGGAAGAGATAAAAAAGAATATGTCTTTCACTCAAGAAATTCATTCAAAAAAAGAAGAATGAAGATGGAAGAGATAAAAAGAAATGTCTTCACTCAAGAGATATTCAAAAAGAAAAGAATGGAAGAGATAAAAGAATCTTCACTCAAGAAATTATTCAAAAAAGAAGCAATGAAGATGGAAGAGATAAAAAGAATATGTCTTCACCAAGAAATTGGTTCAAAAAAAAGAAACGATGAAGATGGAAGAGATAAAAAAGAATATGTCTTCACTCAAGAAATTCATTCAGAAAAGAAACGATGAAGATGGAAGAGATAAAAAGAATATGTCTTCACTAAGAAATTCATTCAAAAAAAGAAGAAATGAAGATGGAAGAGATAAAAAAGAATATGTCTTCACTCAAGAAATTCATTCAAAAAAGAAGCAATGAAGATGGAAGAGATAAAAAGAATATGTCTTCACTCAAGAAATTATTCAAAAGAAGCAAATGAAGATGGAAGAGATAAAAAGAATATGTCTTCACCAAGAAATTCATTCAAAAAAGAAGCAATGAAGATGGAAGAGATAAAAAGAATATGTCTTCACTCAAGAAATTCATTCAAAAAAGAAGCAATGAAGATGGAAGAGATAAAAAGAATATGTCTTCACTAAGAAATTATTCAAAAAAAGAAAGAAACAATGAAGATGGAAGAGATAAAAAAGAATATGTCTTCACCAAGAAATTCAAGCAAAAAAAAAAAATGAAGATGGAAGAGATAAAAAGAATATGTCTTCACCAAGAAATTCATTCAAAAAAGAAGCAATGAAGATGGAAGAGAAAAAAGAATATGTCTTCACTCAAGAAAATTATTCAAAAGAAGCAATGAAGATGGAAGAGATAAAAAGAATATGTCTTCACTCAAGAAATTCATTCAAAAAAAAAAAGATGAAGAGAAAAAGAATATGAAGATCAAGAAATTCATTCAAAAAAGAAGCAATGATGGAAGAGAAAAAAGAATATGACTTCACTCAAGAAATTCAAAGAAAAATGAAGATGGAAGAGATAAAAAAGAATATCTTCAAGAAACTCAAGAAATTCATTCAAAGAAAGAAGCAAAAGAAGAATGGAAGATGGAAAAAAAGAATATGTCTTCACTCAAGAAATTCATTCAAAAAGAAGCAATGAAGATGGAAGAGATAAAAAAAGAATATGTCTTCACCAAGAAATTCAAGCAAAAAAAGAATGAAGATGAAGGAAGAGATAAAAAGAATATGTCTTCACCAAGAAATTCATTCAAAAAGAAGCAATGAAGATGGAAGAGATAAAAAAGAATATGTTCTCACTCAAGAAATTCATTCAAAAAGAAGTAATGAAGATGGAAGAGATAAAAAGAATATGTCTTCAAGAAATTCATTCAAAAAGAAGCAATGAAGATGGAAGAGATAAAAGAATATGTCTTCAGTCAAGAAATTCATTCAAAAAGAAGCAATGAAGATGGAAGAGAGAAAAAAGAATATGTTATTCACCAAGAAATAAAAAGAATTCAAAAAAGAAGCAATGAAGATGGAAGAGACAAAAAAAGAATAAAAAAGAAATTTATTCAAAAAGAAGCAATGAAGATGGAAGAGATAAAAGAAATTCATTCAAGAAAAAAAAAAAGCAATGAAGATGGAAGAGAAAAAAAAGAATATGTCTTCACCAAGAAATTCAGGAAAGAAATTGAAGAAAAAGAATATGAATAGATGAAGATGGAAGAGATAAAAAGAATATGTCTTCACTCAAGAAATTCATTCAAAAAAGAAGCAATGAAGATGGAGAGATAAAAAGAATATGTCTTCACCAAGAAATTCATTCAAAAGAAACAATGAAGATGGAAGAGATAAAAAGAATATGTCTTCACTCAAGAAATTGAAGATGGAAGATAAAAAGAAAGTCTTTCACCAAAGGCAATGAAGATGGAAGAGATAAAAGAATATGTCTTCAGAAACGATCAAGAAATTCATTCAAAAAGAAGCAATGAAGATGGAAGAGATAAAAAAAGAATATGTCTTCACTCAAGAAATTCATTCAGGCTAAATGAAAAAAGAAGAAATGAAGATTCAAAAAGGAAGAGATGGAAGAAAAAGAATATGTTCACTCAAGAAATTCATTCAAAAGAAACAATGAAGATGGAAGAGATAAAAGAATATGTCCAAGAAATTCACTCAAGATAAAAAATTCAAGAAAAAAAGAAGCAATGAAGATGGAAGAGATAAAAAGAATATGTCTTCACTCAAGAAATTATTCAAAAAAGAAGCAATGAAGATGGAAGAGATAAAAAGAATATGTCTTCACTCAAGAAATTCATTCAAAAAGAAACAATGAAGATGGAAGAGATAAAAAAAAGAATATGTCTTCAAGAAAATTCAAGAAATTGAAGATTAAAAAAAAGAAATGAAGATGGAAGAAGATGAAAGAGATCAAAAAGAATATGAAGATGGAAGAATAAAAAATTCATTCAAAAAAGAAGCAATGAAGATGGAAGAGATAAAAAGAATATGTCTTCACTCAAGAAATTATTCAAAAAAGAAGCAATGAAGATGGAAGAGATAAAAAGAATATGTCTTCACTCAAGAAATTCATTCAAAAAGAAACAATGAAGATGGAAGAGATAAAAAGAATATGTCTTCACTCAAGAAATTCATTCAAAAAAGAAGCAATGAAGATGGAAGAGATAAAAAGAATATGTCTTCACTCAAGAAATTATTCAAAAAAAGAATGAAGATGGAAGAGATAAAAAGAATATGTCTTCACTCAAGAAATTCAAAAAGAACGATGAAGATGGAAGAGACAAAAAGAATATGTCTATCAAGAAATTATTCAAAAAAGAAGCAATGAAGATGGAAGAGATAAAAAAGAATATGTCTTCACTCAAGAAATTCATTCAAAAAAGAAGCAATGAAGATGGAAGAGATAAAAGAATATGTCTTCACTCAAGAAATTCATTCAAAAAAGAAGAATGAAGATGGAAGAGATAAAAAGAATATCTTCATCAAGAAATTCATTCAAAAAAGAAGCAATGAAGATGGACGAGATAAAAAAGAATTGGTTTCACTCAAGAAATTGAAAGAACGATGAAGATGGAAGAGATAAAAAGAATATGTCTTCACTCAAGAAATTCATTCAAAAAAGAAGCAATGAAGATGGAAGAGATAAAAGAATATGTCTTCACTCAAGAAATTCATTCAAAAAGAAGCAATGAAGATGGAAGAGATAAAAAAGAATATGTCTTCACTCAAGAAATTCATTCAAAAAGAAACGATGAAGATGAGAGATAAAAAGAATATGTCTTTCAAGAAATTAAAAAAAGAAGATGAAGATGGAAGAGAAAAAGAATATGTCTTCACTCAAGAAATTCATTCAAAAAAGAAGCAATGAAGATGGAAGAGATAAAAAGAATATGTCTTCACCAAGAAATTCATTCAAAAAAGAAGCAATGAAGATGGAAGAGATAAAAAGAATATGTCTTCACCAAGAAATTCATTCAAAAAGAAGCAATGAAGATGGAAGAGATAAAAAGAATATGTCTTCACCAAGAAATTCATTCAAAAAAGAAGCAATGAAGATGGAAGAGATAAAAAGAATATGTCTTCACTCAAGAAATTAAGCAAGGAAAGAAGCAATGAAGATGGAAGAGATAAAAAGAATATGTCTTCACTCAAGAAATTCAATGAAGATGGAAGATAAAAAGAATATTCAAGAAAAAAGAAGCAATGAAGATGGAAGAGATAAAAAGAATATGTCTTCACCAAGAAATTCATTCAAAAGAAACAATGAAGATGGAAGAGATAAAAAGAATATGTCTTCACCAAGAAATTCATTCAAAAAAGAAGCAATGAAGATGGAAGAGATAAAAAGAATATGTCTTCACTCAAGAAATTCATTCAAAAAGAAGCAATGAAGATGGAAGAGATAAAAAAGAATATGTCTTCACTCAAGAAATTCATTCAAAAAGAAGCAATGAAGATGGAAGAGATAAAAAGAATATGTCTTCACTCAAGAAATTCATTCAAAAAGAAGCAATGAAGATGGAAGAGATAAAAGAATAATGTCTTCACTCAAGAAATTATTCAAAAAAAGAAGCAATGAAGATGGAAGAGATAAAAAGAATATGTCCTCACCAAGAAATTATTCAAAAAGAAGCAATGAAGATGGAAGAGATAAAAGAATATGTCTTCACTCAAGAAATTCTATTCAAAAAGAAGAGAAAAAGAAAGCAATGAAGATGTCTTGGAAGAGAAGAAAAAAGAATATGTCTTCACCAAGAAATTCATTCAAAAAAGAAACAATGAAGATGGAAGAGATAAAAAGAATATGTCTTCACTCAAGAAATTCATTCAAAAAAGAAGCAATGAAGATGGAAGAGATAAAAAGAATATGTCTTCACCAAGAAATTCTATTCAAAAAAGAACAATGAAGATGGAAGATAAAAAGAATATGTCTTCACCAAGAAATTCATTCAAAAAGAAACAATGAAGATGGAAGAGATAAAAAGAATATGTCTTCACTCAAGAAATTCATTCAAAAAGAAGCGATGAAGATGGAAGAGATAAAAAGAATATGTCTTCACTCAAGAAATTATTCAAAAAAAGAAGAATGAAGATGGAAGAGAAAAAGAATATGTCTTCACTCAAGAAATTATTCAAAAAGAAGCAATGAATTGGAAGAGAAAAGAAACTAAGAAATGAAGATGGAAGAGATAAAAAGAATATGTCTTCACCAAGAAATTCATTCAAAAGAAGCAATGAAATGAAGATGGAAGAGAGAAAAAAAGAATATGTCTTTCAAGAAATTCATTCAAAAAGAAGCAATGAAGATGGAAGAGATAAAAAGAATATGTCTTCACTCAAGAAATTATTCAAAAGAAACAATGAAGATGGAAAGAGATAAAAGAATATGTCTTCACTCAAGAAATTCAAAGAAAAAAGAAGATAAATGAAGATGGAAGAGATCAAAAAAAAAGAATATGTCTTCACCAAGAAATTCATCAAAAAGAAAATGAAGATGGAAGAGATAAAAAGAATATGTCTTCACTCAAGAAATTCATTCAAAAAAAAGAAGCAATGAAGATGGAAGAGATAAAAAAGAATATGTCTTCACTCAAGAAATTCATTCAAAAAAGAAGCAATGAAGATGGAAGAGATAAAAAGAATATGTTCACTCAAGAAATTCATTCAAAAAAAGAGATGAAATGAAGATAAAAGGAAATTCATTCAAAAGAAGATGGAAGAGATAAAAGAATATGTCTTCACTCAAGAAATTATTCAAAAAAGAAGCAATGAAGATGGAAGAGTCTTCACTCAAGAAATCATTCAAAAAGAAGCAATGAAGATGGAAGATAAAAAGAAACTCAAGAAAGATGAAAGAAACGATGAAGATGGAAGAGATAAAAGAATATGAATTCATTCAAAAAAAGAAAGAAATTCATTCAAAAAGAAGAATGAAGATGGAAGAGATAAAAGAATATGTCTTCACCAAGAAATTCATTCAATGAAGAAAGAGATAAAAAGAATATGTCTTCACTCAAGAAATTCATTCAAAAAGATGAAGATGGAAGAGAAAAAGAATATGTCTTCACCAAGAAATCATATTCAAAAAAGCAATGAAGATGGAAGAGAAAAAAGAATATGTCTTCACTAAGAAGACAAAAAAAAGAAGATGGAAGAGAAAAAGAAAATTCAAAAAGGAAAGAAACGATGAAGATGGAAGAGATAAAAAAATTCACTCAAGAAATTCATTCAAAGAAGAAGCAATGAAGATGGAAGAGATAAAAAAAAGAATATGTTCACTCAAGAAATTCATTCAAAAGAAGCAATGAAGATGGAAGAGATAAAAAAGAATATGTCTTCACTTCAAGAAATTCATTCAAAAAGAAGCAATGAAGATGGAAGAGATAAAAAGAATATCTTCACCAAGAAATTCATTCAAAAAAGAAGCAATGAAGATGGAAGAGATAAAAAAGAATAAAATGTCTTCACTCAAGAAATTCATTCAAAAAAACAATGAAGATGGAAGAGATAAAAAGAATATGTCATTCAGCAATCAAGAAATAAAAGATTCAAAAAAGAAAAAATGAAGATGGAAGAGATAAAAAAGAATATGTCTTCACTCAAGAAATTCATTCAAAAAGAAGAATGAAGATGGAAGAGATAAAAAGAATATGTCTTCACTCAAGAAATTCATTCAAAAAAGAAACGATGAAGATGGAAGAAAAAAGAATATGTCTTCACCAAGAAATTCATTCAAAAAAAGAAGCAATGAAGATGGAAGAGATAAAAAAGAATATGTCTTCACCAAGAAATTCATTCAAAAAGAAGCAATGAAGATGGAAGAGATAAAAAAGAATATGTCTTCACCAAGAAATTCATTCAAAAAAGAAGCAATGAAGATGGAAGAGATAAAAGAATATGTCTTCACCAAGAAATTATTCAAAAAGAAGCAATGAAGATGGAAGAGATAAAAAGAATATGTTCAAGAAATTCAGCAGGAAAAAAAGCAATGAAGATGGAAGAGATAAAAAGAATATGGAAGAAATTATTCAAAAAAGAAGCAATGAAGATGGAAGAGATAAAAGAATATGTCTTCACTCAAGAAATTCATTCAAAAAAGAAGCAATGAAGATGGAAGAGATAAAAGAATATGTCTTCACTCAAGAAATTCATATCAAAAAAGAAGCAATGAAGATGGAAGAGATAAAAAGAATATGTCTTCACTCAAGAAATTCATTCAAAAAGAAGCTAAATGAAGATGGAAGAGATAAAAAGAATACATTCACTCAAGAAATTCATTCAAAAAAAGCAATGAAGATGGAAGAGATAAAAAGAAGATGGAAGAAGTAATGAAAAGAATAAAAAAGAATATGTCTTCACTCAAGAAATTATTCAAAAAAAGAAGCAATGAAGATGGAAGAGATAAAAAGAATATGTCTTCACCAAGAAATTCATTCAAAAAGAAGCAATGAAGATGGAAGAGATAAAAGAATAGAAATAAAAAGAATATTCACTGAAGAAAAAAAAGGAATGAAGATGGAAAAAAAGAATATGTCTTCACTCAAGAAATTATTCAAAAAGAAGCAATGAAGATGGAAGAGATAAAAAAAAAGAATATGTCTTCAATCAAGAAATTCATTCAAAAAAGAAACAATGAAGATGGAAGAGATAAAAAAAGAATATGTCTTCACTAAGAAATTCATTCAAAAAAAGAAGCAATGAAGATGGAAGAGATAAAAAAGAATATGTCTTCACTCAAGAAATTCATTCAAAAAAGAAGCAATGAAGATGGAAGAGATAAAAAGAATATGTTCATTCAAGAAATGAAGATGGAAAAGATAAAAAGAAGAAAATGAAGATGGAAGAGATAAAAAAAGAATGTGTCTTCACTCAAGAAATTCATTCAAAAAAGAAGCAATGAAGATGGAAGAGATAAAAAAGAATATGTCTTCACTCAAGAAATTATTCAAAAAGAAGCAATGAAGATGGAAGAGATAAAAAGAATATGTCTTCACCAAGAAATTCAATCAGGAAAGAAGCAATGAAGATGGAAGAGATAAAAGAATATGTCTTCACTCAAGAAATTCATTCAAAAAGAAGCAATGAAGATGGAAGAGATAAAAGAATATGTCTTCACCAAGAAATTCAATTCAAAAAAGCAATGAAGATGGGAAGAGAAAAAAAGAATATGTCTTCACTCAAGAAATTCATTAAAAAAGAAGCAATGAAGATGGAAGAGATAAAAAGAATATGTCTTCACTCAAGAAATTCATTCAAAAGAAGCAATGAAGATGGAAGAGAGAAAAAGAATATGTCTTCACTCAAGAAATTCATTCAAAAAGAAGCAATGAAGATGGAAGAGATAAAAAGAATATGTCTTCACTCAAGAAATTCAAGCAAAAGATGGAAGAGATAAAAAAGAATATGTCAAAAAGAATAAAAAAGAAGCAAGATGGAAGATGGAAGATTCAAAAAAAGAATATGTTCACCAAGAAATTCATTCAAAAAAAGCAATGAAGATGGAAGAGATAAAAAAAGAATATGAATATGTATTCACTGAAGATGGAAAGAAATTCATTCACCAAAAAAGAAAGAAAATGAAGATGAAGAGATAAAAAAGAATATGTCTTCACCAAGAAATTCTATTCAAAAAAGAAGCAGAAGATGGAAGAGAGATAAAAGAATATGTCTTCACCAAGAAATTCATTCAAAAAGAAGCAATGAAGATGGAAGAGATAAAAAGAATATGTCTTCACCAAGAAATTCATTCAAAAAAGAAGAAAATGAAGATGGAAGAGATAAAAAGAATATGTCTTCACCAAGAAATTCATTCAAAAGAAGCAATGAAGATGGAAGAGATAAAAGAATATGTCTTCACTCAAGAAATTCATTCAAAAAGAAGCAATGAAGATGGAAGAGATAAAAAGAATATGTCTTCACTCAAGAAATTAAGCAGGAAAGAAACGATGAAGATGGAAGAGATAAAAAGAATATGTCTTCACTCAAGAAATTCATTTAAAAAAGAAGCTGAAATGAAGATGGAAGAGATCATTCAAAAAAAGAATATGTCTTCACTCAAGAAATCATTCAAAAAGATTCAATGAAGATGAAAGAAGAATATGAAGATCAAAAAGGAAGAGATGGAAGAAAAAAGAATATGTCTTCACTCAAGAAATTCATTCAAAAAAGAAGCAATGAAGATGGAAGAGATAAAAAGAATATGTCTTCACTCAAGAAATTCATTCAAAAAGAAGCAATGAAGATGGAAGAGATAAAAAATATGTCTTCACTCAAGAAATTCATTCAAAAAGAAGCAATGAAGATGGAAGAGGAAGAGAAATCATTCAAAAAAAAAAGAATATAAAAAAGAATATGTCTTCACCAAGAAATTCATTCAAAAGAAGCAATGAAGATGGAAGAGAGAAAAAAGAATATGTCTTCACTCAAGAAATTCAAGAGAAAAAAGAAGCAATGAAGATGGAAGAGATGGAAAAAAAGAATATGTCTTCACCAAGAAATTCATTCAAAAAAGAAACAATGAAGATGGAAGAGATAAAAAGAATATGTCTTCACTCAAGAAATTCAAGAAATGAAGATGGAAGATTAAAAAAGAATAGCAATCAAAAAAAGAAGCAATGAAGATGGAAGAGATAAAAAGAATAGTCTTCACTAAGAAATTATTCAAAAAAAAAGAATATAAAAGAATCTTCACTCAAGAAATTCATTCAAAAAGAAGCAATGAAGATGGAAGAGATAAAAAGAATATGTCTTCACTCAAGAAATTCATTCAAAAGAACAATGAAGATGGAAGAGATAAAAAGAATATGTCTTCACTCAAGAAATTCATCAAAAAAAGAAGCAATGAAGATGGAAGAGATAAAAAGAATATGTCTTCACTCAAGAAATTCATTCAAAAAAGAAGCAATGAAGATGGAAGATAAAAAGAATATGTCTTCACTCAAGAAATTCATTCAAAAAAAGAAACAATGAAGATGGAAGAGATAAAAAAGAATATGTCTTCACCAAGAAATTCAGCAGGAAAGAAGCAATGAAGATGGAAGAGATAAAAAGAATATGTCTTCACTCAAGAAATTATTTCAAAAAAGAAGCAATGAAGATGGAAGAGATAAAAAAGAATATGTCTTCACCAAGAAATTCAAGCAGGAAAGAAAACGATGAAGATGGAAGAGATAAAAAGAATATGTCTTCACAGGAAAAGAAACAAGAAATTCACTCAAGAAATTCATTCAAAAGAAGAATGAAGATGGAAGAGATAAAAAGAATATGTCTTCACCAAGAAATTATCCAAAAAAGAAGCAATGAAGATGGAAATAAAAAGAAATTCATTCAAGAAATTCAAAAAAAGAAGCAATGAAGATGGAAGAGATAAAAAAGAATATGTCTTCACTCAAGAAATTCATTCAAAAAAAGAAGCAATGAAGATGGAAGAGATAAAAAGAATATGTCTTCACTCAAGAAATTCATTCAAAAAGAAGCAATGAAGATGGAAGAGATAAAAAGAATATGTCTTCACTCAAGAAATTCATTCAAAAAAGAAGCAATGAAATGAAGATAAAAAGAATATGAAGAAATTCATTCAAAAAGAATGAAGATCTTCACTCAAGAAATTCAAGCAAGAAAAGAAGATGGAAGAATAAAAGAAGATGGAAGAGATCAAAAAAAAGAATATGTCTTCACTCAAGAAATTCATTCAAAAAAGAAGCAAATGAAGATAAAAGAATATGGAAGAGATCAAAAAAAGAATATGAGATAAAAAGAATTCACTCAAGAAATTCATTCAAAAAAGAAGAAATGAAGATGGAAGAGATCAAAAAGAGGCAAAAAGAATATGTCTTCACCAAGAAATTCATTCAAAAAGAAACAATGAAGATGGAAGAGATAAAAAAGAATATGTCTTCACCAAGAAATTATCAAAAAAAAAAGAAGCAATGAAGATGGAAGAGATAAAAAGAATATGTCTTCACTCAAGAAATTCATTAAAAAAAGAAGCAATGAAGATGGAAGAGATAAAAAGAATATGTCTTCACTCAAGAAATTCATTCAAAAAGAAGCAATGAAGATGGAAGAGATAAAAAAGAATACTCAAGAAATTCATTCAATGAAGATGGAAGAGATAAAAAGAATATGTCTTCACTCAAGAAATTATGAAAAAAAGAAGCAATGAAGATGGAAGAGATGAAGAAAAAAAAAGAATATGTCTTCACTCAAGAAATTCATTCAAAAAAGAAGCAATGAAGATGGAAGAGAAAAAAGAATATGTCTTCACTCAAGAAATTCATTCAAAAAAACAATGAAGATGGAAGAGATAAAAAGAAATGTCTTCAATGAAGAAATTCAAGCAGGAAAGAAGAATGAAGATGGAAGAGAAAAAAAATATGTCTTCACTCAAGAAATTCATTCAAAAAAAGAAGCAATGAAGATGGAAGAGAAAAAGAATAAAAAAGAATATGTCAGGAAAGAAACAATGAAAGAAAATAAAAGAATATGCTCAAGAAAAAAAAAAGGCAATGAAGATGGAAGAGATAAAAAAGAATATGTTCACCAAGAAATTCATTAAAAAAAGAAGCAATGAAGATGGAAGAGATAAAAAGAATATGTCTTCACTCAAGAAATTATTCAAAAAGAAGCAATGAAGATGGAAGAGATAAAAGAATATGCATGTTCACCAAGAAATTCATTCAAAAAGAAGCAATGAAGATGGAAGAGATAAAAGAATATGTCTTCACCAAGAAATTCAATGAAGATGGAAAGATAAAAAAGAAACGATGAAGATGGAAGAGATAAAAAGAATATGTTCACTCAAGAAAAAGAAACAATGAAGATGGAAGAGATAAAAAGAAAATTCAAAAAGAAGCAATGAAGATGGAAGAGATAAAAAGAATATGTCTTCACTCAAGAAATTCATTCAAAAAGAAGCAATGAAGATGGAAGAGATAAAAAAGAATATGTCTTCACTCAAGAAATTCATCAAAAAGAAACAATGAAGATGGAAGAGATAAAAAGAATATGTCTTCACTCAAGAAATTATTAAGCAATGAAGATGGAAGAGAAAAAAGAAGTCTTACCCTAAGAAAATGAAGATGGAAGAGATAAAAAGAATATGTTCACTCAAGAAATTCATTCAAAAGAAGAATGAAGATGGAAGAGATAAAAAAGAATATGTCTTCACCAAGAAATTCAAGCAAAAAGAAACAATGAAGATGGAAGAGATAAAAGAATATGTCTTCACTCAAGAAATTCATTAAAAAGAAGAAATGAAGATGGAAGAGATAAAAAGAATATGTCTTCACCAAGAAATTCATTCAAAAAGAAACGATGAAGATGGAAGAGATAAAAAGAATATGTCTTCACTCAAGAAATTATTCAAAAAAGAAGCAATGAAGATGGAAGAGATAAAAAGAATATGTCTTCACTCAAGAAAATTCAAGCAAAAGAAACAAGAAATTCATGAAGATGGAAGAGATAAAAAGAATATGTCTTCACCAAGAAATTCATTCAAAAAAGAAGCAATGAAGATGGAAGAGATGAAAAAAGAATATGTCTTCACTCAAGAAATTCATTCAAAAAAGAAGCAATGAAGATGGAAGAGATAAAAAATATGTCTCACTCACCAAAAAGAAAGAAATGAAGATGGAAGAGATAAAAAGAATATGTCAAAAAGAAGCAATGAAGATGGAAGAGATAAAAAGAATATGTCTTCACTCAAGAAATTCATTCAAAAAAGAAGCAATGAAGATGGAAGAGATAAAAAAGAATATGTCTTCACTCAAGAAATTCATTCCAAAAAGAAGCAATGAAGATGGAAGAGATAAAAAAGAATATGTCTTCACTCAAGAAATTCATTCAAAAGAAGCAATGAAGATGGAAGAGAGAAGAGAAAAAAGAATATGTCTTCTTCAAGAAACAGGAAAGAAGAATGAAGATGGAAGAGATAAAAGAAAAGAAGAAATTCATTCAAAAAAGATGGAAGAAGATGAAAAAAAAAGAATATGTCTTCACTCAAGAAATTCATTCAAAAAGAAACAATGAAGATGGAAGAGAAAAAAAGAATATGTCTTCACTCAAGAAATTCATTCAAAAAGAAGCAATGAAGATGGAAGAGATAAAAAAGAATAAGTCTTTACCAAGAAATTCATTCAAAAAGAAAAAAATGAAGATGGAAGAGATAAAAAGAATATGTCTTCACTAAGAAATTCAATTCAAAAAGAAGCAATGAAGATGGAAGAGATAAAAAGAATATGTCTTCACTCAAGAAATTCATTCAAAAAAGAAGCAATGAAGATGGAAGAGATAAAAGAATATGTTCACTCAAGAAATTCATTCAAAAAGATAAAAGCAATGAAGATGGAAGAGATGGAAAAAGAATAATATGTCTTTCACTAAGAAATTCAAGCAAAAGAAAGTAATGAAGATGGAAGAGATCAAAAAAAGAATATGTCTTCACCAAGAAATTATTCAAAAAGAAGCAATGAAGATGGAAGAGATAAAAAGAATATGTCTTCACTCAAGAAATTCAATCAAAAAGAAGGAAAATGAAGATGGAAGAGATAAAAAGAATATGTCTTCACTCAAGAAAATTCAAAAAAAAAGAAGCAATGAAGATGGAAGAGATAAAAAGAATATGTCTTCACCAAGAAATTCATTCAAAAAAGAAGCAATGAAGATGGAAGAGATAAAAAGAATATGTCTTCACTCAAGAAATTCATTCAAAAAGAAGCAATGAAGATGGAAGAGATAAAAGAAATTCAAGAAATTTATTCAAAAGAAGCAATGAAGATGGAAGAGAAAAAAAGAATAAGAAATCTTCAAAAGAAACGATGAAGATGGAAGAGATAAAAAGAAATTCACCAAGAAATTCATTCAAAAAGAAGCAATGAAGATGGAAGAGAAAAAAAGAATATGTCTTCACTCAAGAAATTCATTCAAAAAGAAACAATGAAGATGGAAGAGATAAAAAGAATATGTCTTCACTCAAGAAATTCAAACAAAAAGAAACGATGAAGATGGAAGAGATAAAAAGAATATGTCTTCACAAGAAATTCAAGCAAGAAACGATGAAGATGGAAGAGATAAAAAAGAATATGAAGCAAAAATGAAGATGGAAGAGATAAAAAGAATATGTCTTCACCAAGAAATTCATTCAAAAAAGAAGCAATGAAGATGGAAGAGATCAAAAAAAGAATATGTCTTCACTCAAGAAATTCATTCAAAAAGAAGCAATGAAGATGGAAGAGATAAAAAGAATATGTCTTCACTCAAGAAATTCATTAAAAAAAGAAGCAATGAAGATGGAAGAGATAAAAGAATATGTCTTCACCAAGAAATTCATTCAAAAAAGAAACAATGAAGATGGAAGAGATAAAAAAGAATATGTCTTCACCAAGAAATTTATTCAAAAAGAAGCAATGATGGAAGAGATAAAAAGAATAACTCAAGAAATTAAGCAAAAGAAGCAATGAAGATGGAAGAGATAAAAAAAGAATAAGTATATTCAAAAGAACAATGAAGATGGAAGAGATAAAAGAAATGTCATTCAAGAAAAAAAGAAGCAATGAAGATGGAAGAGATAAAAAGAATATGTCTTCACTCAAGAAATTATAAGCAGGAAAGAAACGATGAAGATGGAAGAGATAAAAAGAATATGTCTTCACCAAGAAATTATTCAAAAAGAAGCAATGAAGATGGAAGAGATAAAAAGAATAACCAAGAAATTCATTCAAAAGATGAAGATGGAAGAGATAAAAGAATATGTCTTCACCAAGAAATTCATTCAAAAGAAGCAAAAAGAAGATAAAAGAATAATGAAGATGGAAGAGATGGAAAAAAGAATATGTCTTCACTCAAGAAATTCATTCAAAAAGAAGCAATGAAGATGGAAGAGAGAAAAAAAGAAATAAGCAGGAAAGAAACGATGAAGATGGAAGAGATAAAAAGAAATTGAAGAAATTCAAAAAAGAAGCAATGAAGATGGAAGAGATCAAAAAAGAATATGGAAGAGTCTTCTTCACCAAGAAATTCAAGCAAAAAGAAAGAATGAAGATGGAAGAGATAAAAAGAATATGTCTTCACCAAGAAATTCATTCAAAAAGAAGCAATGAAATGAAGATGAAGAGATCAAAAAAAAAGAAATATGTCTTCACTCAAGAAATTCATTCAAAAAAAAGCAAATGGAAGAGATAAAAATGAAGATGGAAGAGAGATAAAAAAGAATATGTCTTCACTCAAGAAATTCATTCAAAAGAAGCAATGAAGATGGAAGAGATAAAAAGAATATGTCTTCACTCAAGAAATTCATTCAAAAAGAAACGATGAAGATGGAAGAGATAAAAAAGAATATGTTCATTCAAAAAAAGAAAACGATGAAGATGGAAAGACAAAAAAGAATCATGTCTTCAAAAGAAATTCTAGCAGGAAAGATGAAGATGGAAGATAAAAGAATATGTCTTCACCAAGAAATTTATTCAAAAAGAAGCAATGAAGATGGAAGAGATAAAAAAAGAATATGTCTTCACTCAAGAAAATTCAAAAAGAAGCAATGAAGATGGAAGAGATAAAAAGAATATGTCTTCACTCAAGAAATTAAAAAGAAGCAATGAAGATGGAAGAGATAAAAAGAATATGTCTTCACTAAGAAATTCATTCAAAAGAAGCTAAATGAAGATGGAAGAGATAAAAAAAATGTCTTCACTCAAGAAATTCTAAAAAGAAGCTAATGAAAAAAGAAGCAATGAAGATGGAAAGAGATAAAAAGAATATGTCTTCACTCAAGAAATTCATTCAAAAAAAGAATGAAGATGGAAGAGATAAAAAAGAATATGAAGAAATTCATTCAAAAAGAAAAGAAGATGGAAGAGATAAAAAGAATATGTTCACTCAAGAAATTTATCAAAAAGAAGCAATGAAGATGGAAGAGATAAAAAAGAATATGTCTTCACCAAGAAATTATTCAAAAAAGAAAACGAATGAAGGAAGAGATAAAAAAGAATATGTCTTCACTCAAGAAATTCATTCAAAAAGAAGCAATGAAGATGAAGAGATAAAAAAGAATATGTCTTCACCAAGAAATTCAAGCAAAAAAAAGAAGCAATGAAGATGGAAGAGATAAAAAGAATATGTCTTCACCAAGAAATTCATTCAAAAAAGAAGCAATGAAGATGGAAGAGATAAAAAGAATATGTCTTCACTCAAGAAATTCATTCAAAAGAAAAGAAAGCAATGAAGATGGAAGAGAAAAAAGAATATGTCTTCACCAAGAAATTCATTCAAAAAGAAGCAATGAAGATGGAAGAGATAAAAAGAATATGTCTTCACAAAAAGAAGCAATGAAGATCAAGAAATTCAAGAAATATTCAAAAAAAGAAGCAATGAAGATGGAAGAGATAAAAAAAGAATATGTCTTCACTCAAGAAAATTCAAAAAGAAGCAATGAAGATGGAAGAGATTCAAAAAGAAAAAAAGTTCTTCACTCAAGAAATTTATTCAAAAGAAGCAATGAAGAAGAGATAAAAGAATATATCTTCACTCAAGAAATTCATTCAAAAAGAAGATGGAAGAGATAAAAAAGAAATGAAGATGGAAGAGATAAAAAAGAATATGTCTTCACTCAAGAAATTCATTCAAAAAAGAAGAGAAATGAAGATGGAAGAGATAAAGAGAAAAAGAATATGTCTTCACCAAGAAATTCATTCAAAAAAAAAGTAATGAAGATGGAAGAGATAAAAAGAATATGTCTTCACTCAAGAAATCATTCAAAAATTCAAAAAGAAGATAAAAAGAATATGGAAGAAATCATTAAAAAAGAAGCAATGAAGATCACTCAAGAAATTCATGTCTTCATTCAGAAAAAAAGAAACGATGAAGATGGAAGAGATAAAAAAGAATATGTCTTCACCAAGAAATTCATCAAAAAAAAAAAAGCAATGAAGATGGAAGAGATAAAAAGAAGACTCAAGAAAGATTCAAAAAAGAAAGAAATAAAAGAATATGTCTTCACCAAGAAAATTATTCAAAAAAGAAGCAATGAAGATGAAGAGATAAAAGAATATGTCTTCACCAAGAAATTATTCAAAAAGAAACAATGAAGATGGAAGAGATAAAAAGAATATGTCTTCACCAAGAAATTCAAGCAGGAAAAGAAAAGGCGAAGATGGAAGATGGAATATGTCTTAAAAGAAATTCATTCAAAAAAAAGAAGCAATGAAGATGAAGAGATAAAAAAGAATATGTCTTCACTCAAGAAATTCATTCAAAAAAAAGAATGAAATGGAAGAGATAAAAAAGAATATGGAAGAAATTCAAGCAAAAAGAATAATGAAGATGGAAGAGATAAAAGAATATGTCTTCACTCAAGAAATTATTCAAAAAGAAGCGATGAAGATGGAAGAGATAAAAAGAATATGTCTTCACTCAAGAAATTCATCAAAAAGAAGCAATGAAGATGGAAGAGATAAAAGAATATGTCTTCACTCAAGAAATTCATTCAAAAAGAAGCAATGAAGATGGAAGAGATAAAAAAGAATATGTCTTCACCAAGAAATTCATTCAAAAAAAGAAACGATGAAGATGGAAGAGATAAAAAGAATATGTCTTCACTCAAGAAATTCATTCAAAAAAAGAAGCAATGAAGATGGAAGAGATAAAAAGAATATGTCTTCACTCAAGAAATTCATTCAAAAAGAAAAAAAGAAGAAGAATGAAGATCTATTCAAAAAGAAGCAATGAAAAAGAATAAAATGTATGTCTTCACTCAAGAAATTCATTCAAAAAGAAGCAATGAAGATGGAAGAGATAAAAAGAATATGTCTTCACCAAGAAATTTATTCAAAAAAAGAAGACAATGAAGATGGAAGAGATAAAAAGAATATGTCTTCACTCAAGAAATTCATTCAAAAAGAAAATGAAGATGGAAGAGATAAAAAGAATATATTCACTCAAGAAAAAAAAAGAAATGGAAGAGATGAAGAAGAGATAAAAAGAATATGTCTTCACTCAAGAAATTCATTCAAAAAAGAAGCAATGAAGATGGAAGAGATAAAAAAAGAATATGTCTTCACTCAAGAAATTCATTCAAAAAAGAAGCAATGAAGATGGAAGAGATAAAAAGAATATGTCTTCACCAAGAAATTCATTCAAAAAAGAAGCAATGAAGATGGAAGAGATAAAAAAGAATATGTCTAAGAAATTCACTCAAGAAATTCAAAAGAATAAAAAAGAAACAATGAAGATGGAAGAGATAAAAAAGAATATGTCTTCACCAAGAAATTCATTCAAAAAAGAAGAATGAAGATGGAAGAGATAAAAAGAATATGTCTTCACTCAAGAAATTCATGAAGATCAAAAAGATAAAAGAATAATGACCAAAAGATGGAAGAGAGAAAAAGAATATATTCACTCAAGAAATTCATTAAAAAAGAACAATGAAGATGAAGAGATAAAAAGAATATGTCTTCACCAAGAAATTCAAGCAGGAAAGAAAGAATGAAGATGGAAGAGATAAAAAGAATATGTCTTCACTCAAGAAATTCATTCAAAAAAGAAGCAATGAAGATGGAAGAGAAAAAAAGAATATGTTCACTCAAGAAATTCATTCAAAAGAAGCAATGAAGATGGAAGAGAAAAAGAATATGCCTTCACCAGTAAAAGAAACTCAAGAAATTCATTCAAAACGGCAAAGAAATGGAAGAAGATAAAAAGAATATGTCTTCACTCAAGAAATTCATTCAAAAGAAGCAAATGAAGATGGAAGAGATAAAAAGAATATGTCTTCACTCAAGAAATTCATTCAAAAAAGAAGCAATGAAGATGGAAGAGATAAAAAGAATATGTCTTCACTCAAGAAATTCATTCAAAAAAGAAGCAATGAAGATGGAAGAGATAAAAAAGAATATGTCTTCAAGAAATTCATTCAAAAAGAAATGAAGATGGAAGAGATAAGAAAAAAGAATTCAAAAGAAGATGAAGAAGAGAAAAAAAGAATATGTCTTCACTCAAGAAATCAAGCATTGAAAAAAGAACAATGAAGATGAAAGAAGAAAAAAAGAATATGTCTTCACTCAAGAAAATTATTCAAAAAGAAGCAATGAAGATGGAAGAGATAAAAAGAATATGTCTTCACTCAAGAAATTCATTCAAAAAAAAAAGAAGCAATGAAGATGGAAGAGATAAAAAGAATATGTCTTCACTCAAGAAATCTATCAAAAAAAGAAGCAATGAAGATGGAAGAGATAAAAAGAATATGTCTTCACCAAGAAATTCATTCAAAAAGAAGCAATGAAGATGGAAGAGATAAAAGAATATGTCTTCACTCAAGAAAATTCAAAAAAGAAGCAAATAAGATGGAAGATGAAAGTCCTCACTCAAGATCAAAAAAAAGAAAAAGAATATGTCCTCACCAAGAAATTCATTCCAAAAAGAAAATGAAGATGGAAGAGATAAAAAGAATATGTCTTCACCAAGAAATTCATTCAAAAAGAAAATGAAGATGGAAGAAAAAAAGAATATGTTCACCAAGAAAGATTCAAAAAAGAAGCAATGAAGATGGAAGAGATAAAAGAATATGTCTTCACCAAGAAATTCATTCAAAAAAGAAACAATGAAGATGGAAGAGATAAAAAGAATATGTCTTCACTCAAGAAATTATTCAAAAAAGAAACAATGAAGATGGAAGAGAGAAAAAAGAATATGTCTTCACTCAAGAAATTCATTCAAAAAAAGAAGCAATGAAGATGGAAGAGATAAAAGATAAAAAGAATATGTCTTCACTCAAGAAATTCATTCAAAAAGAAGCAATGAAGATGGAAGAGATAAAAAAGAATATGTCTTCACTCAAGAAATTCATTCAAAAAGAAGCAATGAAGATGGAAGAGATAAAAAGAATATGTCTTCACTCAAGAAATTCATTCAAAAGAAGCAATGAAGATGGAAGAGAGAAAAAAGAATATGTCTTCACTCAAGAAATTCATTCAAAAAAGAAGCAACGAAGATGGAAGAGATAAAAGAATATGTCTTCACCAAGAAATTCATTCAAAAAAAGAAGCAATGAAGATGAAGAGATAAAAAGAATATGTCTTCACCAAGAAATTATTCAAAAAGAAGCAATGAAGATGGAAGAGATAAAAAAGAATATGTCTTCACCAAGAAATTATCCAAAAAGAAGCAATGAAGATGGAAGAGAGATAAAAAGAATATGTCTTCACCAAGAAATTCATTCAAAAAAGAAGCAATGAAGATGGAAGAGATAAAAAAAGAATATGTCTTCACCAAGAAATTCATTCAAAAAGAAGCAATGAAGATGGAAGAGATAAAAAGAATATGTTCACCAAGAAATTCATTCAAAAAAGAAGCAATGAAGATGGAAGAGATAAAAAAGAATATGTCTTCACTCAAGAAATTATTCAAAAAGAAGCAATGAAGATGGAAGAGATAAAAAGAATATGTCTTCACAATCAAGAAATTCAAGAAAAAAAGAAACAATGAAGATGAAGAGATAAAAAGAATATGTCTTCACTCAAGAAATTCATTCAAAAAGAAGCAATGAAGATGGAAGAGAGAAAAAGAATATGTCTTCACTCAAGAAATTCATTCAAAAAAGAAGCAATGAAGATGGAAGAGATAAAAAAGAATATGTCTTCACTCAAGAAATTCATTCAAAAAAGAAGCAATGAAGATGGAAGAGATAAAAAAGAATATGTCTTCACTCAAGAAATTCAAGCAGGAAAGAAACGATGAAGATGGAAGAGATAAAAAAGAATATGTCTTCACTCAAGAAATTCATTCAAAAAAGAAGCAATGAAGATGGAAGAGATAAAAAAGAATATGTCTTCACTCAAGAAATTCAAGAAAAAAAGATAAAAAAGCTTAAGAAATGAAGATGGAAGAGATAAAAGAATATGTCTTCAACTCAAGAAATTCATTCAAAAAGAAGCAATGAAGATGGAAGAGATAAAAAGAATATGTCTTCACTCAAGAAATTCATTCAAAAAAGAAAAATGAAGATGGAAGAGATAAAAGAATATGTTTTCACTCAAGAAATTATCAAAAAAGAAGCAATGAAGATGGAAGAGATAAAAAAGAATATGTCTTCACTCAAGAAATTCATTCAAAAAGAAGCAATGAAGATGGAAGAGATAAAAAAGAATATGTCTTCACTCAAGAAATTCAGCAAAAAAAGAAGCAATGAAGATGGAAAGATAAAAAAAGAATATGTCTTCACCAAGAAATCATTCAAAAAAGAAGCAATGAAGATGGAAGAGATAAAAAAGAATATATTCACCAAGAAATTCATTCAAAAGAAGCAATGAAGATGGAAGAGATAAAAGAATATGTCTTCACTCAAGAAATTCATTCAAAAAAGAAGCAATGAAGATGGAAGAGATAAAAAAGAATATGTCTTCACCAAGAAATTCATTCAAAAAAAAAGAAGCAATGAAGACTCAAGAAATTCATTCAAAAAAGAAGCAAAGAAGATGGAAGAGAAAAAGAATATGTCTTCACTCAAGAAATTCATTCAAAAAGAAGCAATGAAATGAAAGAAAAATGGAAGATCCAAAAAAAAAGAAGCAATGAAAAAAGAATATGTCTTCACCAAGAAATTCATTCAAAAAGAAGCAATGAAGATGGAAGAGATAAAAGAATATGTCTTCACTCAAGAAATTCAAGCAGGAAAGAAGCAATGAAGATGGAAGAGATAAAAAGAATATGTCTTCACTCAAGAAATTCATTCAAAAGAAGCAATGAAGAAAAGATAAAAAGAATATGTCTTCACCAAGAAATTCATTCAAAAAGAAACGATGAAGAGAAGAGAAAAAAGAATATGTCTTCACTCAAGAAATTCATTCAGGAAAGAAACGATGAAGATGGAAGAGAAAAAAAATATATGTCTTCACTCAAGAAATCTATTCAAAAAGAAGCAATGAAGATGGAAGAGATAAAAGAATATGTCTTCACTCAAGAAATTCATTCAAAAGAAACAAATGAAGATGGAAGAGATAAAAGAATATGTTCACCAAGAAATTCATTCAAAAAAGAAGCAATGAAGATGGAAGAGATAAAAAATATGTCTTCACTCAAGAAATTTATATTAAAAAGAAGCAATGAAGATGGAAGAGATAAAAAGAATATGTCTTCACCAAGAAATTCATTCAAAAGAAACGATGAAGATGGAAGAGATAAAAAGAATATGTTCACTCAAGAAATTCATTCAAAAGAAGCTAAATGAAGATGGAAGAGATAAAAAGAATATGTCAAGAAATTCACCAAAAAGAAAATGAAGATGGAAGAGATAAAAAAAGAAATGTCTTCACCAAGAAATTCATCAAAAAAGAGCAATAAAGAGAAAAAGAATCTGTCTTCACCAAGAAATCTATTCAAAAAGAAGCAAATGAAGATGGAAGAGATAAAAAAAAGAATATGTCTTTCACTCAAGAAATTCTATTCAAAAAAGGTTAAATGAAGATGGAAGAGATAAAAGAATATGTCTTCACTCAAGAAATTCATTCAAAAAGAAACGGATGAAGATGGAAGAGATAAAAAGAAATATGTCTTCACTCAAGAAATTATTCAAAAAAAAGAAGCAATGAAGATGGAAGAGATAAAAAGAATATGTCTTCACCAAGAAATTCATTCAAAAAGAAACAATGAAGATGGAAGAGATAAAAAGAATATGTCTTCAATTAAGAAATTCATTCAAAGAAAGAAACGATGAAGATGGAAGAGATAAAAAGAATATGTCTTCACCAAGAAATTCATTCAAAAAAAGAAGCAATGAAGATGGAAGAGATAAAAAAAAGAATGTCTTCACTCAAGAAATTCATCTAAAAAGAAGCAATGAAGATGGAAGAGATAAAAGAATATGTCTTCACTCAAGAAATTCATTCAAAAAAGAAGCAATGAAGATGGAAGAGATAAAAGAATATGTCTTCACCAAGAAATTCATTCAAAAAAAGAAGCAATGAAGATGGAAGAGATAAAAAGAATATGTCTTCACTCAAGAAATTCATTCAAAAGAAGCAATGAAGATGGAAGAGATAAAAAAGAATATGTCTTCACTCAAGAAATTCATTCAAAAAAGAAGCAATGAAGATGGAAGAGATAAAAAAGAATATGTCTTCACTCAAGAAATTCATTCAAAAAAGAAGCAATGAAGATGGAAGAGATAAAAAAGAATATGTCTTCACTCAAGAAATTCAAGCAGGAAAGAAACGATGAAGATGGAAGAGATAAAAAAGAATATGTCTTCACTCAAGAAATTCATTCAAAAAAGAAGCAATGAAGATGGAAGAGATAAAAAAGAATATGTCTTCACTCAAGAAATTCATTCAAAAAAGAAGCAATGAAGATGGAAGAGATAAAAGAATATGTCTTCACCAAGAAATTCATCAAAAAAGAAGCAATGAAGATGGAAGAGATAAAAAAATATGTCTTCACTCAAGAAATTCATTCAAAAAAGAAACAATGAAGATGGAAAGATAAAAAGAATATGTCTTCACCAAGAAATTCATTCAAAAAAGAAGAATGAAGATGAAAGAAATAAAAGAATATGTCTTCACCAAGAAATTCATTCAAAAAGAAGAAGCAAATGAAGATGGAAGAGATAAAAGAATATGTCTTCACTCAAGAAAAAGGAAAAAAACGATGAAGATGAAGAGAAAAAGAATATGTCTTCACTCATGAAATTCATTCAAAAAAGAAGCAATGAAGATGGAAGAGATAAAAAGAATATGTCTTCACTCAAGAAATTCATTCAAAAAAGAAGCAATGAAGATGGAAGAGATAAAAAGAATAAAAAAGAAGCAATGAAGATGGAAGAGATAAAAAAAGAATATGTCTTCACTCAAGAAATTCATTCAAAAAAAGAAGCAATGAAGATGGAAGAGATAAAAAAAGAATATGTCTTCACTCAAGAAATTCATTCAGGAAAGAGAAAAAAATGAAGATGGAAGAGATGAAAAAGAATAAAAAGAATATGTCTTCACTCAAGAAATTCATTCAAAAAAGAAGCAATGAAGATGGAAGAGATAAAAAAGAATATGTCTTCACTCAAGAAATTCATTCAAAAAAGAAGCAATGAAGATGGAAGAGATAAAAAAGAATATGTCTTCACTCAAGAAATTCAAGCAGGAAAGAAACGATGAAGATGGAAGAGATAAAAAAGAATATGTCTTCACCAAGAAATTTATTCAAAAAGAAGCAATGAAGATGGAAGAGATAAAAAAGAATATGTCTTCAATCAAGAAATTCATTCAAAAAAGAAGCAATGAAGATGAAGAGATAAAAAAGAATATGTCTTCACTCAAGAAATTATTCAAAAAAGAAGCAATGAAGATGGAAGAGATAAAAGAATATGTCTTCAGTCAAGAAAATCATCATCAAAAAAATTGAAAAAGAATAAAAATGACCAAGATAAAAGATAAAAAGAATATGTCTTCACTCAAGAAATTCATTCAAAAAGAAGCAAATGAAGATGGAAGAGATAAAAAGAATATATCTTCACTCAAGAAATTCATTCAAAAAAGAAGCAATGAAGATGGAAGAGATAAAAGAATATGTCTTCACCAAGAAATTCATTCAGGAAAAAACGATGAAGATGGAAGAGATAAAAAAGAATATGTCTTCACTCAAGAAATAAGGAAAGAAGCAATGAAGATGGAAGAGATAAAAAAGAATATGTCATTCAAAAGAAGCAAATGAAGATGGAAGAGATAAAAAGAATATGTCTTCACTCAAGAAATTCATTCAAAAAAAAGCAATGAAGATGGAAGAGATAAAAAGAATATGTCTTCACTCAAGAAAATTCAAAAAAGAAAGCAATGAAGATGAAAGATGAAGAATGATGAAGATTCAAAAAAGAATATGTCTTTCAAAAAATTCAAAAAGAAAATGAAGATGGAAGAGATAAAAAAAGAATATGTCTTCACTCAAGAAATTCATTCAAAAAAGAAGCAATGAAAGAAGAGATAAAAAAAGAATATGTCTTCACTCAAGAAAATTCATTCAAAAGAAGCAATGAAGATGGAAGAGATAAAAAAGAATATGTCTTCACCAAGAAATTCATTCAAAAAAGAAGCAATGAAGATGGAAGAGATAAAAAGAATATGTCTTCACTCAAAAAATATTCAAAAAGAAAGAAAGCAGGAAAGATGAAGAATGGAGATAAAAGAATATAATCTTCACTCAAGAAATTCATCAAAAAGAAGCAATGAAGATGGAAGAGATAAAAAGAATATGTCTTTCACTCAAGAAATTCAGTGAAAACAATGAAGATGGAAGAGAAAAAAGAATATGTCTTCACTCAAGAAATTCATTCAAAAAAAGAAGCTAAATGAAGATGGAAGAGATAAAAAGAATGTCTTCATCAAGAAATTATTCAAAAGAAGAATGAAGATGGAAGAGAGATAAAAAGAATATGTCTTCACCAAGAAATTCTAAAAAGAAGCAATGAAGATGGAAGAGATAAAAAAGAATATGTCTTCACTCAAGAAATTCCAAAAAGAAACAATGAAGATGGAAGAGATAAAAAAGAATATGTCTTCACCAAGAAATTCATTCAAAAGAAGCAATGAAGATGGAAGAGAAAAAGAATATGTCTTCACCAAGAAATTCATTCAAAAAGAAGCAATGAAGATGGAAGAGATAAAAAAGAAGAATGTCATTCAAAAAAAGAAGCACTCAAGAAATTCATTCAAAAAAGAAACAATGAAGATGGAAGAGATAAAAAAGAATATGTCTTCACTCAAGAAATTCAAGCAAAAGAAGCAATGAAGATGGAAGAGATAAAAGAATATGTCTTCACCAAGAAATTCATTAAAAAGAAGCAATGAAGATGGAAGAGATAAAAGAATATGTCTTCTCTCAAGAAATTCATTCAAAAGAAGCAATGAAGATGGAAGAGATAAAAAGAATATGTCTTCACTCAAGAAATTCATATTCAAAAAGAAGCAATGAAGATGGAAGAGATAAAAAAGAATATGTCTTCACTCAAGAAATTATCCAAAAAAGAAGCAATGAAGATGGAAGAGATCAAAAAAGAATATGTCTTCACTCAAGAAATTCATTCAAAAAAAGAAGCAATGAAGATGAAGAGATAAAAGAATATGTCTTCACTCAAGAAATTCATTCAAAAGAAGCAATGAAGATGGAAGAGATAAAAAAAATATGTCTTCACCAAGAAATTCATTCAAAAGAAGAAATGAAGATGGAAGAGATAAAAAGAATATGTCTTCACTAAGAAATTCATTCAAAAAGAAATTAAATGAAGATGGAAGAGATAAAAAAGAATATGTCTTCACCAAGAAATTCATTCAAAAAAGAAGAATGAAGATGGAAGAGATAAAAAGAATATGTCTTCACTCAAGAAATCTATTCAAAAAAAGAAGCAATGAAGATGGAAGAGATAAAAAAGAATATGTCTTCACTCAAGAAATTCATCTCAAAAAAAGAAGCAAATGAAGATGGAAGAGATAAAAAAGAATATGTCTTCACTCAAGAAAATTCAATGAAGAAAAAGATAAAAGAAAAAGCAATGAAGATGAAGATGGAAGAGATAAAAAAGAATATGTCTTCACTCAAGAAATTCATTCAAAAAGAAGCAATGAAGATGGAAGAGATAAAAGAATATGTCTTTCACTCAAGAAATTCAAGCAAAAGAAGCAATGAAGATGGAAGAGATAAAAAAAAAGAATATGTCTTCACTCAAGAAATTTAAGCAAAAGAAGAATGAAGA